CTCCCGCGCACAGATGCACACAGACGCATGCACGCCTGCACACACCAGTGTTGCACACGCAATCGCATCCGCAGAGGCACGCACACGGACTCTCGCGTTCACACCTTCACACACACACAACGCACGTAAAAAATACATTTAATTTTTTTAACATAATCTAAACCCTGAGACAAGGAGAAATAAAATAACGGAGAGGGCAAGTTGTTTTGTCTGTTATTTTGTTTATCATTGTCTCAGGGTTTACTTTCGTTCCTTGATCTTTCAAACCTGCCGGAATCTATACCGAAACTACCTCAAGTATAGTTTCGGTTTCTTTGCATGGGCAGCGCTTTGAAATAAAACTGGTAAAACCGTAAAACCGGCCGGCCAAGACAATCCATTTTTCCAATGGCGTCGCAGACTCGCAGTTTCATCTGGACGTGTCGTTTGGACGTGTTGACGGATTTAAAGGTGAGATATTATCTGCAACATTCTTTCGAACACTTGTTATTTGTTCGGGAACCTGGTAAGTGAATATAAAAACCTTTTATTGTTTACATTTGATGGGAGCGACCACATATGTCTGACTGTCTTTTTCGTGGTTTCGCGGATTGCTTTCGCTCTTTAAAAATACCCTGTGCCCAGAGTGCCCTCATTCAATTGCATTCGCACGGCGATATTTTGGGGTTCTTATTGTATCCGCGAGTTTATCGTTAATATTTTATTTTGAAGTTCTGCCGTGGTACTAGCGACATGATAACGGGGTGATCTGCTTTCAGCTTCTCAACCTGTACTATCGCGGACAAAATGAGCTGAAACAGTAGGGAGGCTCAAGTGAGGGTGGGTGCAACTGCTAGATCGGCGATCACGGGACGTGGACGCCATTTAATTGCTAAATTTTGCTGGGAGTCTATGGGGCAAAGGGTCGTTTTCTTTCCTAACTCGGGTCATAAAAGCCCATTAAGGTGCTTGAATAATTTACACAAGGTATAAATGATTACTTTTCCATGGCCACCAGTTTTGTTGCGATAGGTTAAGTATTTTTTTAACGCGAAAAATGGTAAATTCCGCCATCTTGGACGTTGCTGCTTGTCTGGCAACTTTGCTTTCTCCGCTCGACGTTTGCAATTCTCGGAGCGAGAAGGAAGCGAGAGAGGCTGCGCCAAGGCGCTCGTTGCTTGCAATGGGAGGCGAGAGGAGGAAAGGTGCATGGAGCAACGGAGTTGCAACAGAGCGGGCGCCTGCTCTCGTGCAGGCAACATTGGGGCATATCCTTTCTCGAATCCTCTCCCTCAGGCGCCGCCATTAAATTGCAAACGCTCTCCAGGTTTTGAGTTGCGCCCACCCTCACTACAGCCTCCCTATGAAACAGCGCTCCGCCCTGCGCCGCCTGTCGCCTTGCTCCGCACGCACGGCGCACCCTGAGGCCGAGATAATAGGGAGTTTTCGTAGATCGTTTTCGCCGTCCCGCAAGGCACTCCGCAACCCGCTATGATAGCGGGAACTCCACAGTCAAGGCTATCGGCGCGCAGGCGCAGTAGCAACTTCTTCGTTGCGGAACGCTTAGCGGAGGGGGCAGCGCGGTCTACGAAAACTCCCTAAATTCTCACTTGCGCTCGCTGCGCCACTGCGCTCTTCCGTCCGTCTGCTAGCGAGACGGCTTGTGCGACAGCGGGCGTGTGCGTGGTAGGGCGGCAGGGGGGGGGGGGGGGGGGGATGTGCATTGTTGAGGTTGTTCAGGCCACAGTTCAGGCGTTCCGCTCTAGGCAAGGGGTTTTGCGGTGTGGCAAAGTCGCTTTCACGCCACGAGGCGGCGTTTTGTTGCCTCCGTCGGATGATTCAAGTCCCCATATGGCGTGTAATTTTTATGGTCACTGTCGTCGTCGTTGCCCTCCTCGGCCTCGTCTCCGTAGCCAAGGGCCTGTGCTATACCGCACTACAACGCGCTTTGCCCTTTCTGGTCGATGCTACTGCGTTGTCCCAAGATGTGTTCGACAGTCTCCTCGTCGCCGCCACAGAGCCCGCAGTTTGGATCTTCTCCATAAAGCTCAAATCTGCGTCTCTGGGTCAGTAGGGAGCCCGTTCGAGCCTGGAACAGCAGCGCGCTGGCTCGGTCTCCCTGCTAGTGTGGATAGGGCGCTGGTTCCTTCTTGTGTTTCCTGTACAGTTGGAGGCTCAGTATCCTCTGCATTGTCCTTCTCCAGTCCTCTATTCCGGCCGTGTCACCTCTGCCCGTATTGTCCTCGCCCACTCCTGTTCCGTCGTCACCAGATGTCTTGTTGTGCCCCCACCGTACTTAGAATCTATGGTCTTTATTCTCTTCATCCAGCCTGTCTTGGACCCCTGATATCGGATGTGGTAGTACATCCCTCTGGCGTAGCTCTCCTGGGGAAGGAACTTTAGTCTGCCCATGTATGCAAGCTTCGACCTGGCCTCTCGTATCTTGTAGGTAGACATCCCATTTCCCCGGTTACCGCTGCGTTTGCTGTGCAGCTCAGCAGCCATCTCCCCAGTCTGTATTGATGTCGATCCAGACACTTTACCACTGTCTCGCTGTATGTAATCGCGTCATTCGCGTAAGTCACTGCTTGGACTGCAAGGGATTTCCATAGTAGCCTCCCAACCGAGTGTCTATTGTATGAGTGCCTGGCGAGATGCCACACCACCCCCTTCAGTTTGTTTGACTTTTTAATTACGTTTTTTTCCTGTTTGGTCAGGTAGTCCTTGCTGTGCGTTATTGTTACACCATGGTAATTGTAGGGTGTTGTTTTCTGTACTGTTTAATTTTGTAGGTAAAAGCTGGTGTCCAAATTCACGTTGGAGCCCATCCACTGCGTTATTCCTGCATTAAATTTAAGGTTGTCCCTCGCTGCCACCCCTGTGCAGATGTCAATCGTGCTGCATATTGGTTGAGGACTCTGCGAGGAGCACCACATCGTTCGCAAAGGCCAGGCATGGGATGCGCGTGTATTCTTCCTCTTTGTCCTTGGTCGTAGTGCTCAAGTGCAACCCTGCCCCTTCCTCCACCAGATGTTTGAGATGTTTGAGAAGGTCGTTTGTGTACACATTAAATGGTGTTGGTGATAGGCGACACCCCTGTCTCAGTCCAAAACTTATTGGTACTGGTTTTGATTTGTAGTTTTCTAATGTGTACCAGGCCTCGCAACCCCTGTACAAGCTCTTCATGCGTTCGACACTTTCCTTTTTGAGTCCGCTTTTCTTCATCTTATCCCATAATCTTTGGTGTGGTACTGCATCATATGCTTTCTCGAGGTCTAGGAATGCCAGGAACAACTGGGAGTTTTGGATGTCTTTCATTTCTATGGCTTGGGATTAACGTAAATAGGTTATCGCTTGTTCTTCTGTTTTGCCGAAAGCCATTTTGAGCTTCTACGAAAAAGTTGTTTTTATCATACAAGATCTGTAGCCTGTGGTTTATTATGCTTGCAAATAATTTGCAGACTGCTGATTATTGCGATTGGTCGATAGGCATTGAGGTCTTTTGGGTCTGCTTGTTTCCCTTTATATAGAAGCTTTACTCTTGCCTGTTTCTACACTTACGGTATTTCTGTTGACACCAGGCGTTCATTAAAGCATGTTCTGAGGTTGTTTGCTGCCTCTTTCTTAATTGCCTTCAGGAACTCGTTCGGAATATCATCCATACCGGTTGCCTTCTTGTTTTTCTGTCGTCTTATTTTCCTCTTCATTTCCCCCGTGGTTATGGGATCTAGTATGGAATGCTTCTGTATTTTGCGTTTTCCCAAAGTTTCTTTTTGACTGTATGTCTCTTCTGGGGTTTGCTTCAGTTTTTTGTTGTTGCTGTAAGAAGTACTCAGTCATCCATTCTTCTATTTCGCATTTTTCTTTCCGGTCTTTGCCCCCTCTTTGCAGCATACGTGTCTGTTCTTTCTTTTTTTCTGCATGCATTGTAGTAATTTGTCTCCAGAATTTCTCGTTAGATTTTTTTCCCTTTTTCAGTATGTCTTCCTCTGTCTTTCTGCAGAACTGTTGAATTTTTGTGGCCACTATACTTTGTTTCACCTTGTGTTGTACCGCAGGAAAGGCTACAAGCGTGAGCTCCTTGCTCTATGGCACACCTCGGCGGCACAAGCTCTCGTGCACCTAGGGCAGCTGCCAACGCTATGAGCTCGCACTTCTAGCCTTCGCTGCGGTACAACATGAGGTGAAACGGGGTATAGTGCCTTCACTCGAACTTTTTTTTCTTCAAAACATTCCCACAGGTAGTCTTGGGTGTAGCCTTTTCGTTGTGCCCACCTGTGCTGCCTGTTGATCTCTCGTCTTCCCAATTGCCTCCTTTACCTCCTGTCGAACCAGGGGCTTCGGTTTTATTGTTTCCCTTTTCTGGTTTTTTCCACTTGTTCTTTGGCTGTTTGGGTAATTAGGCTCATTAGTTCTTCATATGTGTTGTCTTTTGTAATTTTTTTCTCCAATTCTGATGCAAATTTTTCTATTTTATCTTCTGCTCCTAGCTTCCAGTAATTTTCCTGGATGTTTTTTTTTTTTTTTTTCTGTCTTTGGTTGTTGGTGTTTAGTTTTAGCAGTATTCTGTTATAATCGCTTGCACAGCTGCTTACCTTGCTCTCGTCTATGTCTATAGCATCTATCTTGATGTTTTCTTTGCCTGCCTCGTCGTTTATGAGGATATAGTCAATTGTTGATTTTTGGTTGTTGCGGCTCCAGGTTGTTTTTCCCTTGCATTGTGGCTCCAGGTTAACTATAGTTAAAGGGGGGGGGGGGTTCAACAATTTTATGGTTAAAAGAATTTGCATCTCCTCATTTTTACGTTGTTTATCGTGCCCTGGAGGATAGAGAAACCATTTCCTTCCTTCAAAATGTCGCGATTCCGCTGCATAATTGCAAAGCAAAAGCCGAGCTTTTTCCCGCACTTGCAGCGGCAAGTGGCAGCCGGAGGAACTACGGCTAGAAGATTACGTGACTTCGCTCGGCTCTAAGCTGCAGCCTAACGCCCGCTAATGTCAGCAGAGAGAGGGAGAGGAAATGTCCTCCGAGACAGCACACGGGAACCCACACGGCACTCCGAAGGACGTCACTAGGAGGGGGACCAGGTGTGACCCTGAAGACTGGGAGTGAGTTGAGGGGTGCCCGAAATGCCAATATTTATCTTTTTTTATGCAACAACTAGGACACGCAGGAGAAATCGGTTTTCTGTTCGTTACTTCAGAAGTGTCAGAGGGCAACTTCCACAAATTTTTTACCAAAGTCCGGAAATCGTTGCACCCCCCCCCCCCTTTATGCTGTTTTTTACTAGTTTCCTGAGTTCTGCTGCTTTGCTTTCCCTACCATCCAGTTCTAATATGTGGCAGTTAAAGTCACCCACAATCATTATCGGTTCATTTTGGAAGGTTGAGCCAATGTCTTTTGAGATGCAGTCGTAAATTGATTTGTTCCATGCCGGATCTTCATGTGCCGTTGCCGAGTAGGTTGTGCAGATGGCGCCACTTGCCCTCGAGGCTTCCAGCGCTCCCTCAATGGTCTAACCCGAGCGACTGGCAGCAAGGTTACAGTACCTGACAAAAGTATTGTATCCTTGTCCCCAACTTTGTCGGTTCTTTATAGAAGGAAATAAAACTAATTGAAGAACCTAAAATTGTAGTCACATGAATTTTTTTTTTTCTGTGAAAAGGCATTTTGATAAATACCGAAGCAGACATTATCTGCTTCTGTCCTCGCGAACGCCAACTGTCGTTTACGTGCACTTGCATTAATTGTTTATGTTCAGTTTTATTTTATTACTAACTAGCGTTCCTTAGGCCGCAGTTAACGCGTGAGCAACATAGTCTCGGCCCGTTTGCTTGAAGCGCTAACAGCTGCTAAAGTTAGCCGCAGTACCTAGGAGGGGGATTATTATATCACGTTACTGGCTCGGTAGGGATGCGGGGAAACGTGGCAGTGCCCCGGTGAGTGAGTGCCGCTCGCTTTGGAACTAATATGTCGTTGTAGCTGTAATATCAGGCGCGTTAGCAACGAATCGTGCAGGAGGCTTTCGCTTTGCCTTACCTCACTTAAATCGCAAAGCATGAGCAATGACCTTTTCTTTTTTATAGTTTTTGCATCTTTTTGCTTTTTAGTTTTGCTTAGTTTATAGTTTTGCTTTTTTGCATCTTTTTTATAGTTTTTTGATTCTGGCCATTACTAAGCCTAAATGAATGCGATAATTGTCGGCATGGCAACGTCTTTGGAAAGCGGATTGCCTTGACTCAATTGGCCGGGTATTGATAGCACATAAAAGCTGACAGCGTCCCATTAGACCTTTTTTTAAACTACCCAAGCATCGAGAACAACGCTGGAAGTGTAATTCTACGGTCCGCGCGCGCTGGCCTTTCTCTTATAAAAGATTCAAAGTAAATAATCATAATAAGGCTTTGACGAACGTGTGTGCGAGGCAAAATTTGTTTTGGACTTTTTGATTTAGAATAATTACTACTGCAGACGCTAGCACGTGCAATGCCTGTAACTACACTCGGTGCTTGGGGAATTTAGAAAAAGGTCTATTGGGACGCTGTACAAGCTTGCACAACGTCTTTGCGGAGCAAGCCACTGAGCTGCTTCGCCTAACTGCACCTAGCCGCCTAACTGCACAAACAATTTTGTTCTTAGCGTCCCTCAAGCAGGGTAAGCAACTGGGAAAATTAAAAGTGTCCTAATGTCACTCTTCTTTTTTATTTTGCCTGGAGTACATGTGACCGAACAACAAAAAATACACCCGTTATGTGGCATACTTACCTTTGGTAATGGAGCATTTCGCATCATTGGTGATTTCCTTCTCTTGCAATTAGAATGTGCAAACACTGTTGGAATGGCAGTCTGTTTCAGCTTCTTCCAACCATCTGCGCAATTTTGCTCAAACTGGGATCCTTCAAATTGCCTAGAAAAATATGATAAATTTTACTTAACAATGCCCTATAATTAACATTTGCATGCTTAGTTGCATCATGTACATTAAATCCAGGACAACTTATAACTCAATTTACTTAGCAGTCACTAGTTTAAACAGAGCTGTCATAACCAGGGCCCCTTAGAAGTTCCAGATAGTGAACATGAGAAATGCGCATAATTAACATTAACTTTGCCGTTTTGTTTTGTTTCATTTAAATTCCATGTGCTCGTATATCTTTATGCAACAAACAAGGATTGTAGCTTTAGTGATCGCACATGCTTATCTTGATTGCAACGAACTATAATTATGTCTCACTTTCTTGAGTTGAGCCAAAGTTTGAACTGCATATATGACCAGATCAATGCTATTTACAGTAATTTATAAATCCATACCATCCGTGATTGTAGCTGTAGATGCGATCACGCAAGGCACGGGTGATCATTTCCATAGTGGAAAGTTTTTGGAATAAATGAAAAGATTCTTACCTCACAAAGTCGGGAACCAGCCGTTGGCGTCCACGTGTCGCGCTTTATTTTTATTAGCCAGAGTTTCCCTCATTTTTGTTTTTCGGAATAATAAACAACCGAAAGCCGTCATGGCTGCTGTTAGAGCACCCGACGGCGCAGCAACAAATCATTTTCGTCTTTGAAAATAAAAGCTCAGAAAATCAAGAAGCCGGTAAACCTCCAGGGTAGCCTATGCACATGTACGGGGAATAAGAACAAAAATGGTGGTCGGGAGCGTGTCGATTGCAGCGGGTTCGTCGTTGCCACGCGGTTGCTAGGGCCAACGTCAATGCCGGTGGGAGGAGTCCAGGGTCCGCCTGGGTTCACCGAGGACAATGGATGGCCAAACTCTCCCCTATCTATGGCTCTGATCCTTGGCAGATGGAGGCACCATCTGTGAGATGCTGTCACAAACAGCGGCATTCTGTCTGCTGCTTCTCAGGGACGGCGTCCTCTCATAATCAAAAACAGTTTTCCACTTCTAACTTTTTATTCCGGTAATGATATGCATTAAAACTTAAGCATCTCGCTTGAACGGCTTCGGCTATGTTCCAACGGAGTTTGAGCTTTCTCCGAAGCCTAGTTTATTTTTGCGGTGCGAAAACCAGGGTTAGATTTTTTCAGGGACATTCTGTACAATAAGCTATTGCACCCTCCTCCTTGTTAAAAGTTCTAGTTGTTAGTGTTGTTTTACTTATTATATGGTGTGTCTTTCTTCATGATATGAACCACAGTGAAGTCTGAATTCTTGTGCTAGGTGCCACCCTGACCAGGCTGAAGCTGACATGATTAGCAAGCATCGTAACGTGAGTTGAATGATATGACAGCATATATTGACTACTGTGTGGATGTTCGTGCTTCGTGGCAGTCATGCGATAACAGTTGCCTTGACGTCACTTGTGTTGATGGAAGGTTGCCCTAATATGTCAGCAAGAACTATTGTTTGTTTTGATTAATTTGGGGAGCTTGTGGGCCATTACATGGAGTAACTTTGTACAGCATCCTTGTCTAAGGGCTATACCTGAAGGAGGATAATGCCTTATTTGCATTGCATTCCAAATCTCACTTTTTAATTACTTCAATAATACCTAGTAGCTGGCATTTGATGTCAGCTTCTGCCACATCAACCCATGACCTTTGATTGTGTGCCAAACACACCACTAAATAGAAATGGCTTCATTATTACGTTTTGTTCCTCCATTGCATAGGATATGGGAATCCCAGCAATTACATTCTCCAACGGTATTTTGTAATATTCACAATTTCAAATTATGTGAACAATTTTATAAACCTCCAAGTCACTCAATAACTGATCAATTATTTAAATAAATGTCAACTGTCAACCGGTTGCAAGTTTCTAATTAATGCACAGTCCCACCATGTATTACTGTTTGTGTATAATATCAGGAAATGTTGATTAAACATACAGGTTATTTCATAACAACTTTTTATGTCTGACCCATTATATTCAGTGTTTTCTAGATAAGTTTGAAGTTATATAAGAGAGTGCTCATCTTAAAATTAAGCCATACCACTGGATGTACACTAGTGTGTGACTGATACATATGTTCCCAGCGAAATGAAAGAAAGCATTTAAGAAGGGCAAACCACTTGCTTTGCTGTTTGTCTTTTCTTCTTTTAGGTGCATGGGTATTTACGTCTAAAAGTGTTAAAGTGAAATTTGCTGCTGCAGGACTAGTTTTCCGGACTCAGCTGGTTTGTCTGGCAGCTTGCAACCAATGGGAACCTGAGGAACTGCATCACAAAAGTGAAAGGGACGCCCACCCAGCACTTCTTCGAGGATGGTGCCTTGAAGAAGGGAGAAGTGCGCCTAAAGTGAATGCCATGGCAGGTGGGTCATTACAGTGAACCCCTAGCACAAATAATCCCAAACAAAAAAATATTAACAAATGGATTAGAAACAAAGAATGGAAATATGGAAAAAGAGGTGGAGGTGAACACACCGTAGCACTGTGTTTTATGCGTCTGTTCTCTTGTGTCCTTTGCACCGTTTTTTTTGTTTTTGTCTTAAATGATGGTTTATCATTTAGTCAGTATCAGCACTAGTGAACAAAAGTATGCTCTCAATCATTCCTATGAATTAACTGTGTGCTTGCAATTTAATCACGAACACTGTTTATGCTTGTGTCTAGAAATGTAACTCTTACAGTAATCTATTAAAGGGACATTGATAGGGTGTTTATGCTTGTTGAGGTTTTTGTTTGAACATGACCTACGATATTCCAACTACCCAGAACATTACTTGCGGATCCAAATTGTTTGTTTCTGCTCAAAAACAGCCATTCTTGAATCGGTTGCTTGCTATCGCACTCACTCTCTTTTTCATGGTTATCTGGGGTTTAAACTGTATGTACCAAATCTATTCAAAGTTTTGCATCATCTAAGGCACACACGCAACATTAAAAAAAAAGAAGAACATGAACCACATTTTTGTGGTCTCCAAAAGCCAGCAAAAATGCCGATTGAAAAAAAAAATCCTGCACAGATCACAGGAAGTACTTATACATATCATATTCAATACAGCGACGTACTGCGGGCTGGACGATACAATGGTGACGCATGATGCACCAACGTTGCGACGGATGAGGAGCTTTACTTCGGAACGGTCATTTGTGATACCAGCCAATTGATTGATCTTCAAGTGCAGACATCAAGCGTTTGTCGTGCAAAATAATCGCATGACAAACGGTGCACGCAAATTCGTCGTCGTCGTCTTTTCGGTTTCGAACTGCAGAGTTTTTTTGGCTTTATTAAATATGTACGTGGCTGTGTAGTAAAATATTTCCCGACTAGTATCTTGACACAAATTAAATCGCCTGGCAAAAAAAAAAAAATATGCACACTTTTAGGGCGTGTTAGTGTCTCTTTAAAGAAGAAAACCGAGGTGCAAGCTGGCACAGGTTAAACAAGGTGAATTACCCAATACAGTAGTAGGGATTCATGAAGGATGATGCAAACACTGAAATCTAAAACAATGGGCTAAAAATAAATAGGCAACCCTGAAGAGGGAGACACAAAGGCACTCTTTACAAATAATATTTTCCTGCTTACAACCACTCTACAAAGGGAATTCGTTCCCGGATATTGCAGCCTTCTACTGTACGCAACCCCGAAGGTCTCCAAGACAACAAACGAAATGAAGCAACCTACGAACCTCTGAGTAAATGTGGTTGAAAGAAGAATAGCTTGAGTTTTTAACCTAGGAAGTACAAAAAATTCATACACAAGGTCAAGTTTCCAAAAACGGGTGGACATCGAACTTGTTTCTAATGAAAAAATACAGGCAAAAAGCAGTGGTATAGCCAAGAATTTTTTTTTTCTTTTTAGGGGGCCCCTTCTCCTAAAAAGAAAAAAAAAATTCTTGGCTATACCACTGCTGGCTGGGATGTCCATTACTTGGGGTTCAGAGAGGGGTAAGGGGTCAAAATGCTTGTGTATAATATTATAGGGTCGGCTGTATTTCTGGGGTGGGGCTGAAGCCCCATAAGCACCCCTCCCCCTCCCTGGCTACGTCCCTGTACGCCTGGTCCACTCAGAGTCGAAACACAGAAAGGGCTCAGTCAACACATTTCTATGCTCTATTATTATTATTATTGATTCTTGCAGTATACGCTTGTAGTCATTCCCTTCGGTCAAAACTATTTCAGCAGGATCCCATAAGGGCGCACAATTATTACATTTAATCAAGTGGTTTTTTTTTGTTGCTTTTCTTGCAGAATTTTGTTGCAAAGATTGCATAAAAACAGGGATCTGTATTTGGAACTGTGAAAACATTTGAGGGAATAATTGTGAGCCTTTATGGATCTGTTCTGAAAAAGTTTTGACCCAAGAGAATGTCCACAAATTTATACTGAAAGAATCAGTAACAAAATTGAAGCTTGTAACTGTGGTGAATAAGTCTTCCCTATGTTTTGACTGTGAGTGGAAGAACTTTTTTAGCCTATATCTTTTTCCCTAGAACCAGGTTTGATGTCCCTCTTTTTTAGGAAGTTAATGTTGTGTATGGTGCTTTTCTATTCTCTAGGCTATAAGCTCGAGGGTATTCCCTGTTTCTTTGATCACATTTACACAGAGGTTAGTAGGTTGCTTCTTTGTATCTCTGTCCTTGAGTATGTTGGGGGTCGTGCTGAGTCCTGGACAGTGCAAGCTGAAATGTTAGTGCAGTGACCGAAATCCACTGCTTGCTGGGCTTCTACAAGAGATGCTGAAGTAGCAATAAGAGGCGGTTTGAGGACAAGAGTGCATGGCCACTGCTATGCGACTCTGCCTGTTTCTTATTGTTTAGGAGCACCTCGATTTGAGTCATCTTTATGTTTTGCTATCGCCTAGCCGTGCTTGTTGGCGCCTCAATTATCTGGGCCGGTGGCCTTTGTCCCAGCCAAATAACTTTGTCTTATGACTCAGCAGGCAAACATAATGGTGACTATAAACAATCCCAGAAGCAGCACGTCTGCAGCAAGGTGTGCGGTTCTCAACCATGATCAGGCCGAGTCAGGCATCATGCCACTACAATCTCTTCTGAACGTTATCTTTTATCGCTAGTTGAAGTTTTCTTGTTAAGGCAGTGCCATTGTTGTCAGTCGTCGCTTGGTCAATTCAGCTTCTAGCAACAATGACTGGACTGTCGGGCTGAGCATTGATTATAAATTTAAACATCATTATAATTGCCATCCCTTAACCAATTATTAATAGATTAATCATTCTCATTCCTTTCCATGCATACTCAAAATTATATATATTTTTGTTTGCCTTTACTGAATGTTTGATAAACAGTATACAAAATTGAATATGAATCAACTTCAATACATAGTTGACAACAGTTTGAGGACACGCTCGCAGATTATTACTTGAGTTGCATGAGGCAAAGGGGTTTGTTGATATTCATCGGCAAGAGCGGCTTCCTTTGATTGTTCTCGCTGCTCTAAACAGACACTCAATATATGTTAAAGTGGCCAGAGCACATGTAACCCTCTGCACCTTGTCTGGAGTTACAAATCTTGCCCTTACAGTTTATTTTAGGTTAAAATTTCACCTAAACTTTGCCCTTCATATACATGTACTCGGCCATTTCTCTATGGTAAAAGCATTTAATTTTGATTTTCTTTTCGTTCGTCATGGTTTTACCGGTTGACCGGATAAACAGAATAATCCAGATTAAAGCAATATTTGATTAATTGGTCGGTTATTCTATTCATTGCCCAGCCGTACTCTTCAATAGAAAGCACTAAGGTCCAGCAAAATATTTTTGTTTTGGAGATGGTTGTAATTTATTTTTATTTATTTAGAGGATACTACAAGCCATCGAAGGCCCAAGTAGGTGTGGGATACAACATATACATTCACACATAAAACGAAAGCAAATAACACGACATTAAAAGGTTTACAACTAACTAGCAAATATACAGGATATATTATTTAAAAAAAAGGGGAGGGGGGAAAGCAAGCATCAAGCAGTATTGGAAGTGCACCCATGGAAAGGGTTTCTTAAAGTCTCTCTCTGTATGTTTTGTTGTGTGCCACTTAATTGAGAACCTTTCTCTCCATTTAAATTTAGCTGAGCCCCAGCCTTCGGTACATTCATCATAAGACATTTCTTTTACAGTGAAATTTCAAGGCAATGTCAAAATTATTGCAAGTTGAAGCAAACCAAAATCACAGAATGAAGTGATGGTTTCCTCCTTTGTTTAGAGAGAACTAATGTTTATCAATATTTTGTTTGAAGGTGCTTTTATGACAAAAGGTGTCGCCAACCTCTGCTCAAAACCATGTGGCTTGCGGCTTTAGAACCCATCACAATCAAGTGTTATTTAAATTTTTATCTTCATCATCATCATTTTTTTGAACCACAGCATTTTTTAGAGCACCAGTTTTACTAAGAAACTTTCATTGCCAGAGACTCATGCTCTTATTAATTGTGCAATGACAGTGCAGCCACCAACTGCCATTTCTAGTGAAATAGCGGTCTCTGGTGTAACAAATTTAACAATGAACAGTGTGGAATAATGAAAAACAGTCCACTGCTGTTTTTCCAAGGTCCAGTGACTTGCTTCTGCAGGCATTTATGGTTTTCCAATGCAGTGTAAATGTGATCAAACCAAAACAGAAGATAGAGATGTGCTGCGTTAATGGTCCCTAGACCTTCCCAGTGGTGATGCTCCTCCTCACCTTTTCCTAGGCAACGAGCGAGAGGACTCTTCACTAACGTAATCCGTCTTGGGCTTCTGGTATAACGAAGGCCACTGGGAGGGGCTCGAGGGCAGTCTGCCTCGAGGGGAAGTTGACTTCTTGATTGCTGCTACTTGGGGACTCCAAGATAGATGGACGAGGCTTTTCAGCAGACCTAGGCTATCCTGGAGTTTGGGGTGGGCATGTCCCTCTGTGTTATGGACGTTTGCGAGTTGTGTTATTTTCCTACATGGCGACAGCCGCCTCCTGTGCATAAGTGAACTGGTGCTCATTTTTTGTGTAAGGTTGCTATTCATGTCACTGAAGGAAGCTTTACACTTCTGGTGTGGCATGTCATTTATTTGGCAGCTAGAAAAGCTGTTGCTTGAAGTTAGTGTTCAGGTTCTTGGTTTTGGGAGGACCGGAAATATCTTCTAATACACTTGACTCTCAGTAACTCAAACTCCTGGAAGCCACAGACTTTAATTTGAAATATGAGAAGTTTGAATTATCGGAAATGTATGGAAAAGTGATATGAGGCAAGGTATGAAATTGCTATTGGAATAACTACATGTACCAAGCAGTTTTTTTATACTATCCTCTGCACAGGCCTGTTTAAAAAAGGGCACACGTAAAACATTGGTGAGGCTTAAAGCAAATATTAATACTGGCGGAATATTTTCTAATTGAATATAGAATAGTTTCTCAAAGCCTTTTACTACTGTTGTGCCGTGCTTAAACAAAAATTCAGCTTAACTTGTGAGGGTTGTTCCCAACCTTACCCTTGTCCACTTCTAAGCTCAGTTAGTTTTAATATAACTACATCTATGAACTGTGGCCTCTGTAAGTCCAATGCCCACATTGGGGTGGCATCCAAATGACAGATTTCACATAAAATTAAACCTGAAGAAACGCCCAGCTATCCTAGTCGAAGGAATTTATAAATCTGCTTGCTATATGCAAATATTCTTTCTTTTATCTGGAATTTAATCCCCCTTAGAAAAATCAAAGAAGCACAAATAATGAAAGCAGATTGTCAGGACAGTGCTCCTTGCATAATCGGGTTGGGTTAGTCCCATCGAGTGTGCTTCTCACCTAGCACCCGTATACTGCGGCAAAGCAATGACCACGAGATTCGCGTGTATTGCTTTTCCGGAGTACACAGGTGCTCGATGAGAAGCGCACTCAACGGGGCTAACCCTCCGCAATGGACAAATAGTGTGAACGGAGCGAAAACATTGTTGGAATTAATTAAAACATAGCTAAAAAACTAAATTTTTAAATTTGTTTGAATTAACTGGCAGTAAGAAATATCAGAGTTTGAATTATTGCGAGTCCACTGTACTTATTTTAGTTCAGACAAAACATTATTTAGTGGCAGCTGTCAATGCAAATAGTAGAGGTTGTATACTTGATATACTTTTTTTCTGGTGCCGTAGTTTTACAGTTTTAGAGGATTTTAAACGATCACATGAAATTGGTAATACAGCACATCATTATGCTGTAACTCGCCTCTGGCAAGCACATTCCAGTGTTACAAGCAGATTATACTTTTTCATGCAGCCATATGAGTGGCAATTCTTCGGTTTTCTGCTTGTCTAGTTTGGTAGAAACATTGTTCCGAAATGGTGACATGAAAAGAAGCTATTAGCCTAAATTAAATTTTGTTTGTCTTGATCCTATAAGTGAATTGCTCTCATAACATTTTGCAGGCATTGCGCTGAGGCTTGGGCCATGTGGAACTGGAGGCAGCCAAGTCATCAAAGAAGATAGGACTTCGGCTCATTCAGAAACCATGTGAACTACGGCACAAGAGGCCCAGGGCACCGGGACAGCTGGCTGAATAAACAGCTAAGCCTTTCAAACATTGAAGTGTATGCTATCCCAAGGAGAGTCCCTATTGAAAATATTTCTAAAAGGGCCCGTCAGCCTTGAAGGATTATGGGACCTCACAGGCCTTCAAAACCCTTCAAAAATACTCCACAGAAAAACCCTTCAAGGATACCCCATAGAAAAACCCTTTAGCCCCACAGCCCTTTAACCCGTCAGGCCCTTTAGCCCATCAAACTTTTAGACGCCCAAATGTCCGTGAACCATAGACAAAAATGCAGGTCAAAACACTGAAAATTTATTGCCGACATTTAGTTTTACATGCATATTATAACTCAAAAAGCAACGCTTGTTCAAACCCGGCGCAAGGAACTGTACACGAAAGGGATCACATCAAACAGGGACAACTGACATCCTTATCACAAAGAAAAATACCTTTCAAAGTACTCACAATGCCGCTGGGTATATTCCTGATGTACGGTAGTTCAGCTAATAAAACCGAGCAGGTGCACCTCACGGACACATACACAGTCTCAGTAAGCACGTTTAGTGAAAACCACAAACTCGTAAGCAGCACCCGCCGCCGTTGAGAAATCCCGAGCACAGTCACGGTTTCGTCCATGATGACGTCGCGCCGGCGTCTTCGGCGTATTCTTTGCTCGCTGGTCTGAAGTCGGACGGACGAAGAGGCGCAAGGAACAAGTCCGGACAGCGGCCGTCATCCACCGTCTCAACACCCACAGTGCCATAATCCCGGTGCGCAGGCACAACATGCGGTGGGACGCTGACCCCGACTGCCAGGCTTTGCGGCGAGTAAGCCGACACCGGCCACCATCTCCTTGAATGCGCTGAACACAAAGGCGCTCGAGCGGTGCTGAAGGCGGCCTGCGCCGAACTATGGTTCACCTGCGGTACCAAGAAAGAAACTGCACGGATCAAAACAGACCAAGGGGCGAGCCCTCAAAACCATGCATGCTCACCTTCCTGGAGGAAATTGGTCCGCTCCAAACATCCAGGCTCGGGGGATAACCGGAACCGCACACGAGCAGAGAGAAAATGGCTATGGCCTCCCCCGCTTGCACACAGCACCCTCCTCCCCCCGACCGCTGGCCTGGCAGCCCTGCACCCTCTCCCCATCGCCGGGCGGAGAGAGGCGATTGCTTTTTGGGGACAGTCCCCCGTGGGGGGACCGGTTCCCGGAACGAGTCGCTCCCGCGTGCGTCCCTGTTCCTGGAAAGCGCGCACTGCTCTCGGGTTGTTCTTTTTTTTTTTTTCTTCTTTTTTTCTTGTTTTTTTTTTTTCTTTTTTTTTTATACATGGTTGCACGTATTTCGCCTCGAGCGGACAGGATTGCGTTCGCCTCAAAACGCTGCTCGGCCAACACCACTCGGCCCGCGGCTCGTCAATTCTCCACATGGGCGGTCGCCCTCAGTAGCTCTTTTGCGACCGAACACCCGGGCAGTGACAGACGGGTCCAGGAGCCCACTCGTATTTGATAGAAGAGCAGTAATAAAAATCTGACCGTACTCACACACGATCGGCATTCTCCAAATACTTATTTTTTCCCCCGTAGCGTACAATAAGCAGCTATGTTCATTAATTCTGCGAAATGTGTTTTTTCCACCTGGGCCGTTGCCCACACAGACATATCAAGAGGCCTGAAGGTTTTCCCGACCCCATTAGAAAAGTTCTTGACAGGCCTTCAGACATTTCAAGGCATCGTAAAGGGGACTTTAGACATTTCAGGAGAGCCTCTGACGGGGCCAGTGAACCCACCAGGAAATATCGGTGCCCCCGTCAAACATCTCAGAAATTCCTGAAGTCCCTTTCACACCCTTTAAAAAAATCCTGAAGTCCCATCAGAGCGATTTTCAATAGGGGTAGTTTGAAGGGGATTAGAGTTTTAGACCTCAAGGCAAATAAATGTATTTTTTCCTGCCAAAGGTTGGATACTTCTTGAACAGCCCTGATTCAAAAATACGAAAGAGTTATACAAAGAAGACGGACAGGACAAACATCTTTCGAATTTCAACACATTGGTGTCTTCTTTTGCTGGTATAAATTAACTAACCTGGGGACATGCACTTTTAATCTGACAGTGAATCGAACTGATGACCCTTTCTTACAGTGTCCATTGAATTCATGATCAGTTAACCAACAGCCTGACCACCAACACCTTTGAAATTTTTGGACTAGGCAATATATATATCCTTCGGAGACTATATTCTTGTGAAACCGGTAAACTGTTTCTCTGTTGTTTGTTTGCCTAGTAGATAACATACACTGTAAATGACACCAATTTTTTTCGTACGGGGTGACAAGAAACATTGCACATCATTTGTGCCAGACTTCGGAGGTGGTTGTTGGAAAGCTAATGCAACTGCAATTTAGCCTAGAGTTTGATTATCATGAGCAATTGCAACTAGGTAGGTTTTGTCAATCTTTTTTCTTTTTGCACAGCGAAGCAGCAGGTGCATTAACATGAAGGTTCAATGAGAATGGGTGCGTCATATGATGTTCAGATCACAAAGACCTCAATCTGGATGCCTCCTAGCTGATCCACCCCAGTGCCTTGAGTGCATTACAGTGATGCCTAGAGCTTGAGTATTGTTGCCTGCAACATGATGAACCTACAAACACAAACATCTGTTCTTGCATGTTATTTTGCCTTTAGATTGGGGAGGAAACTGCCGTCTGGTATACCTTTAGTGGCAATGAAAATGCCACAGCTAGCATTATTTGCCCTATGGCCGAGGTGAAAATGACCTTCGGCTATGCCTTTCTGGCCAGGCAAATGTCACATTGTTTTTTGCTCAATGGCCGAGGTGAAAACAAAGCCAGGCTAATGCCGCGTCGGTATTTGCTCCATGGCCAGGCTGAAAACAACCCTCGGATATACCTTTGTGGCCTAGCAGATGCCGGCCCTCGTTCTTTGCTCAATGGCCGAGATGAAATCAAGGCCTCGGTGGCCTAGCGAATGCCGGCCCTCGGTCTTTGCTTAATGGCCGAGGTAAAATCAAGGCCTCGGTGGCCTAGCACATGCCGGCCCTTGTTTTTTGCCCAACGGCCGAGGTGAAAACGAGACCTCGGTGATACATCTGTGGCCAGGCTAATGCCGCGTCGGTATTTGCTCCATGGCCAGGCTGAAAACGACCCTCGGATATACCTTTGTGGCCTAGCAGATGCCGGCCCTCGTTCTTTGCTCAATGGCCAAGGTGAAAACAAGGCCTCGGTGGCCTAGCAAATCCCGGCCCTCGGTCTTTGCTTAATGGCCGAGGTGAAATCAAGGCCTCGGTGGCCTAGCAAATGCCGGTCCTTGTTTTTTGCCCAATGGCCAAGGTGAAAACAAGAGCTCGGTGGCCTGGCAAATGCCGGCCCTCGTTTTTTGCCCTGTGGCCGAGGTGAAAACAAGGCCTTGGCAACTGGGCAAATGCCGGGCTAGGCCCTTCCTTGGTGGCCGACATGTAAAAAAATACCTTGGATGGCCGGGAGTTTGCCGAGCACTGCCCTTTGCCAATGGCCGAGCTGAATTCGAGGCATCGGTGGCCTGGCTTTTGCCGACCATGGTTTTTGGTTGTCCACCGAGGATTTGCCGGTGGCCGACCAAATTGATCGTTGGCCTAGCAATGGCCGAGGCATGGCCGATGACTTTAGAAAATTCTGTGCTACTTGGGTAGCTTTCCAGAGCCGTCTTTGTCTGCATTCCCTCTAGCCACCGATCTCTTTCTATGGCCTTAACTTTCTTCTTAACTGGAACCTGCTATTGCGTAACTGCACTATAGCCCACAAACTTTCTTCTTAATTTCCTAGTGCGCTGTCTCCACTTTGTGTCTATACTCCTCGTGTATAAATAGCTGAAAAACTTTCGTGCCCATTGCTCTCCATCCATTTGCCTCAACCGATCCTCAAATTCTATCTAATGACGCCCATCCCATGTCTCCTTGTACTCCCTCGTTTGGCGTTTTGCAATGTGCCCCCAAAGCCAGTCTACCTACTCCACGCTGTTTTATTTCTAGTCTTGCATGCACTTCGGATTTCATGCATAGCACTGAGCTTCCAAAAGTCAAGCCAGGCACCATGACCCCTTTCCAAATACCTCTCACCCCCTCATACCAGTAGTAATCTGAAAGTGCTCTACTTTTCATTACAGCTGCATTTCTGTTGCCCTTACATATTATATACTTTTCATGCTCACGGAGATATTCTGCACCATCACATATTCATACTCCTCGAAAGTTGTATTTGCTAGCTCTCTCAGCTGTAATATTCTGTATCTTCAGCTTCTCCACTTCATCATTGTTAAAAATCATGACTGCTGATTTTTCTCTACTGAATTCTAAGCCTAATTTTTCTCCTTCCCTACCGCAGATGCTCATTAATTCCTGCAACTCTGTCCTGTTTTTAGCCATTAGTACGATATCACCCGCATACATCAATCCCGGTAAGGATGGCTGAATTTTTAGCCTAGCTTACTGTACGAAAGGTCGAATCCAAGCCCACTGTTCTCTAGTCTATCTTCATATCCTCTCAGATACAGCATAAACAGCAAATGCGATAACGGGCACCCCTGCCTAAGGTCTCGTCTTATCTCTATTTTTCCCCGTTGCCTTTCCTTCCCATGTTATAATCACATTATCATCTTTGTAAATTTTCCTTAATATTGCTGTTAGTTTTTTATATAGGTGTAAGCTCTCCACTATGTCCCACGGGTTCCTTTGGTTCACATTGTCCTAGGCACCCTTGATATCCAAAAATGCCAGCCAGAGCTGTGTGTTTTCTTTTTGTGCTATTTCTATACACTGTGTTAGAGAAAATATATTTTGCTCCAACCTTCTTTGTTTCCGAAACCCGTTCTGTAACTCGCCCAGTATGCCCTCGCAATCTACCTATTCCTCCCCCCCCCCCCCTCCCCCAAGTATGGTCTTTATAATCTCCACTACCAACCTGTAAATAACTGGTATCACGGTTATGGGACGATAATTCCTAATATCAGAATTATCTCCCTTTCCCTTATATAGCATACTCATCTTACTAAGCCTCCATTCATCTGGAATAC